GCCTTTTTCTAGTGCTTACAAACTGATTGCTGAGTCACCAACAAAGCAGTTTGGTGTTTATGGTCATTTGGCATGTGTATTTGTTGATTGGTTCATGTGTGTAGCATTTTCAATGGCAGTGTTTTGAAAATGGCAAACAAGTGAACATGTCAGATTTCTGTGTCTTACTTGGAGAACTGTGTGCAGTGTTTTGCAAAAAGAATGCCAAGTTGAATTGCAAATTGGGTGCAGAGCTAAAAATGTGTTTAGATATTTGGAGATTTGAGCTCAGGTTTTGCTCTTTGAGTGTTAGATTAAATTATTGTGCTTTATGTCTAATTCTAGTGTGTTAGCAACTAAAAAAACTGTAAATGAAGTGTGTGCCATTTGGTGCAAAAGTGTTTATGTAGTTTTGGGTGCAGTGATTCATTTTGCCAAGATATGAGGTGTTGTGCACTTGGGTCTGTGATTTTGTGAATTGTGTTTAGTGTTTTGACAAAATGAGCGCTGTTGTCAAAAAATGTGTTTTTAGCAATTGAAATAAAACTGTACTACAGTATACTGTTTAGTTCAGTTAGATATATTTGTGAAGAAACAAATCGTGTTTCCTCTTACAGTACAGCTTGTCATTATTAGCTCTTCCTCTGCAGTCCCTTCTTGCTGCACAGGATTTAACTGGGAGATTATCATCATCAAACTTACCGAGGGTTAGATTCTCTTCATCTCGTCTCTCTCTTCAGTCAGGGAGTTTTGCTGTGAAACTGTCATTTTCAGTGGAGAGGGTTACATACAACATTTGATGATGTAATCAATCTGAAGAAATTATTCACTTAAAACAAATTAACTGAGCTGGTTTTGATTAGAATTACAGTATTTCAAAGAATGTATTGTTCAATACAAAGAATTACAAATATGTACTCTGAACACACATGTTGAAAGGGATATTAATAATTTTCCTCCAGGAAGGAAAACTCTACTTTGTCATTACTGATCATGTTAATGTTAATTAGGTAATTAATGATCACATTAGTTTGTTTACTTTGTTCATCAAAAAACAAGCAAGCCAATCAAAATCCATAAGCAATGGCCTCTAAAGTGAATGCAAAGCCTAATCGGCTCAATGCTAAGGTGTTTAAGAGCTGGTTTAAAAAACTCTGAAGTTGCTGTAAAGTTGTGTAAGTCTAAATCATAATCTGAGTTGATGCATATCTATGCATATTGATGCATTGTGTTATATTAATTATGTGATGTGTACTTTATTGCGGTGTTGTATTAAAAGCTAATATATTTTAACTACACTTATACCTGTAAAAATGAAAATAAGCAACAACTCTCTGTCTGTATTTGTTTTATTACAAAGGGGTTTGTCCCAATCAAATGAATTACATTTAAATTGAACATCATGTTAACACATTTTTAAAAACTGCATTATAACATATACACACACTATTATTGTTATTTTGTTATTTTTGTAAACCTACATTTAACCAGGTAAGTCCTGTTGAGATCAGAAATCTCCTTTCAAGTGAAACCTTAGTAGTTCACACTAAGGCATAGTTATATTATAGTTAATGACGGGTATGGAAAAGACAGTTGACAGAAGCAGCCGCGCCGAGATTGCAAAGTGACTCGAACGCGGCCATGCACTTACATAAATATAAACATTATGCAACATTAACCAGACATATGCATATGATAATAAATACTATTATTTGCCGCCCTAAAACTGCAAAACCACTCTTGTTCTTCCTGGTTTGAAGTCAAATGGTCTCTCTTCTTCCTTAATGTTCACAACTCGCTGCTGTTACAACCCTCTGCTGCAGCTTTGACCGTATTGATTCTTCTGTACTTTGTGTTAATTTGGACTTTTATTCACAATTCACACATTTATTTTTACGTCCAAATAAAATCATCATTATTGTTGTTTATCAGTGACACATAATGCAAAAGATCTGATTGACTATATTCTACCCTTATTTATTTGCACCTGAACTGGTTGTCTCTGTACTTATTAGTTTGACAATTTTTTAAAAATATCACTTACAGTTTGACCACCTTCACAAACTCTGAATTCTTTTTTTAAATGAAATAAAAATAGGAAAGCATCCATCCATACAAAATTTGCACTTCCCTCTATACTTTGAGAACCGCTCTTCATCAACAAGACTTGGAGAGAAGAGCCAAGTCCTCTTGGTGAAAATAAATGTTGCAACATTAATTTCTCATATGCCTTACAAAAAACACAACAATGGTGTGACCTGTTTGTCAAATGCAGATCAGTCTATTTTATAGTGAGGGATTCATCGGAAAACTCAGACTTTGTTTTGAAAATAAAATAAAATCATTACATCTCTAAGACACAAAACTAGGACATGATTTCAAGTTGGCATGATTGAAATAAGAAAATCTAAAAGCAGGCAGCCAATATTATAATCTCAAAAGCAGAGAAAGACACTTTAGGAATTGCAATTACAGTTTTAAAAAAAAGTGAACATTAATCCTATATATGAGACATGACGTGACTCCAGATATCTACGTGAGAGTCCAACCCCTCGCCCCACTGGACCTCCACATTTGAATTTAGGCTGAAAAATGAGAAATGCAACTTGTTCCTGTTTTTTCATCATCGTTTTGTGGGACTAGATGTGGAGTTATGCCAATCTCTTCTCACATATCCATCGATTTGTATTATAACTGCAATGGCTATCTGTCCAGCTTATTCTTGCATCACTGTAATATATTTGTGCACAGTCTTCGTCCAGCTTCAAAGTTCCATTTGGCTCACCGGGGTACCAGTAGCTGAAACCCCCAAAGGAAAAATAATAATAATACATTTCAACCTGACATCAACTCAAATCAAAATGCTTTATTATTGATAGAGATAGAATAATAAATGTCTATCCTATGTCTGGTTTGTTATCTGACATGAAATAAGCTTTTAAAGGACATCACAACATGTAGTTGTGGTCAGAGAGGTTGGTAGGCTACTAATATACAAATCATTTAATGTGAAAATAACATAATTATGACATGAAGCTGCAGAGCGAGTGTCTGTCACAGTGCACCTTGACAATAGAAAAGTGAAATAATGAGTGAACCTTGTGGTCAGCGGAGTCCCATCGACCCACTTCCATCTGCCCTCTGTCTCTCGATCAGTGAGTCCAATCCACACCTTCATACGAAAACTTAATATGTAGTCCTTGTTGTGGAGAGAAAAACGCACAATCACAACCACTATATAAACCGAGACATGCTGTCAACCACTTCTGTGACACACAAACCACACACACACACACACACACACACACACCACACACACCACACACACACACACACCACACACACACACACACACATACACATACACACACACACACACACCACACACACACACACACACACACACACACACACACACACACACCTCTTCTTCTCTGCTGTTGATAATCACCAGATCTACTCCTTTTTGAAGACAGTCATCCCTACTCTCTTGCCAGTTTTTCTGGATAGGAGAAATGGTATAGAGACTACCGCTGAAGTACATCCATCCTTGATAAGAATAGTGGAAAACAGAAAGAACGATAAAACCTTAATACATAAATTACCAGATGCTTAATCTACTATGTCAAGTGCCAAGGTGGTATCTACCGTATGACATGAAGGCCCACCGGCTGAACAATTGATTTCATTTTCATACTTACCCCCGGCTCTCAGAGTCCTCCCCAGATCGTCTCTTTCCTCAGACAGGTTTTTGTTAGTTGCCACCATTTCTGAAACAGAAATGCTATTGTGATGTTTGTTTCCTTTTAATACTGAATAAAAAGCTTTTAGGGAACTTTGCTGAAAGCTGTAATTTTGAGTGAGAAGTTATTATTTTCAAAAGAATCAGGTTAGTAGTAGTTTGATTTGTTAACTTTTGTTTAAATTTAGCATGAAAAAATGATTGTATTCCCTCTTACAGCTACAAAAGAGCTGAGGTGTTATCAATGACAAACCTGAAATGATTTCCCAGAGGGTCTATGAGCAAAGATACACCATTTATGAATTTTCTGACCACTTGGGGTTGTTCATATCGTGTTTTCTTTTTGTCACTTCAGTGTTCTGCCTGAGAAAGTACACCTTTATTTCTTTCATATACACCACCAATGTAGTATACCTTATACACCTTCCGATCAAAAACCTGATTATTGCAGTAGTTTCATCTTAATACTTACCAAGGTTGATTCTCTTCAACTTGTCAACTTGTCTCTCTCTGCACTTATTGTAAGTCGCTTTGGATAAAAGCGTCAGCTAAATGCAATGTAATGTAATGTCTTCAGTCAAGGAGTTTTGCAGTGAAACTGTCATTTTCCATTTTGCCTCCAGATCTAAAACAGAATTCCCATTGTATATTATGTTAATCTATCAATGATAATGTATGGATCCATGTTTCCTTTTCTTATTCCAACACCATATCATGTTTTCAGGAAATTCATTCTGCTAAACTGTCCTGTTGAATGGAGAGGCTGTCATTATTTTCAACAGAACCATATCAGTAATACAGGATATGTTTAGTTCAGTTACGTATATTTGTGAAGAAAATAAATATTGTGATCACCGTTATCAACAACAGCTGTATCATATCCTCTGTTTAAATGTGTAAGATAAGTAATTTAAATTTAAAACGTAAAAAAAATGAACTATCATTATCAACAGAATGTGAAGAGCTTAGGATGTTGACGTAACTTCAAAAACATCTATATGTTGTTCTGCAGAGATAAGCATGCTAACTGACTAGCCGCTGCACGTCGGTCAGCATGCATGTTTCTTGATGTTCTGAGTTTGTATCTTTATAGTTTATTGCACCTATTGTAGGTTGCTTTGGATAAAAGCCTCTGATAAATAAAATATGATATATTGTTACCTAATGTGATATTTAGTACTGATTAAGTAAGATTTACCCCTTCAGATCAAACCCCTGATTATTGCAGTAGTTTCATCTTAATACTTACTGAGGTTGATTCTCTTCAACTCGTCTCTCTCTTCAGTCAGGGAGTTTTGCTGTGAAACTGTCATTTTCAGTGGAGAGGTTACCAACTATGATAATTGGATCAACTGAAGAAATTATTCACTTTAAAAAAAATTAACCGAGTTGGTTTTGATTAAAATTATTTCAGAGCAATTATTGTTCAATACAAATAATTATACATACATTCACTCTGAGCACATACTGCATGTTGAAATGAATATTAATAAAATGTCCATGAGTTGTGCAAATAACTTTGTATATTTTATATTTATAATTGTAGGTCATATTGCACACCCTAATACACAGTGATGTGTTTTTTTCGAAATAATTCAGGATAAGTGATTGTCATATCTTGCTAAATAATTATTTGTATATCTGGCTACAGAAGTGAGAGTCACAAATTAAGAAGACTTACAGCGAGTGAGACGCAGGGAAATGTTGAGAGCAGCTTGTAGGATACACAGGAGTCCAAAACTCACAACAACCAGTCTGTTCATTTTCATTCCTGTGTGTAGAACCCAGAAACATGCACACACACGGAGGTTTATGGAGGCTGACTTGCACAAGTGGCTGTTTGAGAAACCTTACACTTTAAACTGAGATGTTGATTTTGTCTTTAATTTCTCACGCAATATATATATATATATATATATATATATATATATATGATGATCTTTAAGGTTATTATAAACTCGACAACTCTAAATTGTTTGACGAGGATTTCTGTCTTACCAGGCGCTGCAGCAGCTCCGCACCTGGACGTTTCAATCAGACGGCGGGGATGCACAGTTCCTGGCTTGAGACATTACTTCAAAGTTTGCCTATATCTGGAGATTCAGTTTCTTCTTAAAGGGAAACCATCTATCAGTTGAGCCTCTGCAGAGTGCTGATGGTGTGTCAAGTGTCTTCTTAAAGGGCACTGATCGTCTATTTAAATGATAGCAAGGACACTAGAATGATTTCGCAGGCGTTTTAACAGAAAGAAAGAGAGAAGAGAGGAGAGAGAGAGAAGAGCGAGAGAGAGAGAGAGAGAGAAGAGAGAGAGATGAGGAGAAGAGAGAAGAGATCAGAGCTCTCTCTTCTTCTCTCCTCTCATCTCTTCTCTCCTCTCTCTCTCCTATCTCTCTTCTTCTCTCATTTCTCTTTCTCTTTCTCTCTCTTCTTCCTCATTTTGAGTCATGCTGCCTGTGTTCCTCAACTAAGAGCTGGTTTAAAAAACTCTGAAGTTGCTGTAAAGTTGTGTAAATCTAAATCATAATCTGTGTTGATGCATATCTATGCATATTGATGCATTGTGTTATATTAATTATGTGATGTGTACTTTATTGCGGTGTTATATTAAAAGCTATATAGGCTATTATATACACTATACATGTCAAATGAAAATAAGCAACAACTCTCTGTGTAGCACATCAGATCAATGGTCTGTATTTGTTTTATTGCATTATTATTAATTACATTTAAATTGAACATCGTGTTAACACATATTTAAAACTGCATTATAACATAATATACAAACTATTATTGTTATTTATTTATTTTTGTAAACCTACATTTAACCAGGTAAGTCCTGTTGAGATCAGAACATCTCCTTTCAAGGGGAAACCTTAGTAGTTCACACTAAGGCATAGTTATATTATAGTTAATGACGGGTATGGAAAAGAAAGTTGACAGAAGCAGCCGCGCCGAGATTGCAAAGTGACTCGAACGCGGCCATGCACTTACATAAATATAAGCATTATGCAACATTAACCAGACATATGCGTATGATGATAAATACTATTCTTCGTCGCATAAAACTGCAAAATCATTCTTGTTCTTCCTGGTTTGAAGTCAAATGGTCTCTCTTCTTCCTTAATGTTCACAACTCGCTTGCTGTTACAACCTCTGCTGCAGCTTTGACGTAATGATTCTTCTGTACTTTGTGTAATTTGGACTTTTATTCACAATTCACGTATTTCTTTTTTACTTCCAAAGAAAATCATCATTATTGTTGTTTATCAGTGACACATAATGCAAAGACAGTTGTATTATCTGAATGACTATACTTTATTTGCACCTGAACTGGTTATCTCTGTACTTAGTTATTAGTTTGACAATTTTTCTAAATATCACTTACACTTTGACCACATTCACAATGACATTATCACCAATATCCACTGTAAAAGAAAACCCTGTAGTTAACTTACATAATCATCCAGAATTGGGATTACTTTTTTACAACAAACTCTGAATTCTTTTTTTAATATAATAAAAAATAGGAGAACATTGAAAGCATAGTTTACCCAGAAGGGAGAAGATGTGGTTAGGGTACAAAATTGCACTTCCCTCTATACTTTCAGCACTGTTCTTGTTGCAACATTAATTTCTCAAATGACTTATGAGTCATTGATTTTGAATAGAAAATAAAATCATTACATCTCTAAGACACAAAACTAGGACATGATTTCAAGTTGGCATGATTTAAATAAGAGAATCTAAAAGCAGGCAGCCAATATTAAAATCTCGAAAGCAGAGAAAAGACACATTTAGGCATTATGAATATGATATACCTGCTAATATGTGATTCCTAAGTCAGGAATTGCTGCTGCAGAGTCCTCGGGGGTGTGACGTCAGCGGGAAGTGGAGCAGGATACATGGATAGCAGCAAGAGGAAGAGGTAGAGGGAAGATAAGAGTGAGAGGGAGGATGAACTGAAGTCAATTGAAGAGTTTATTTGCAGCATAACAGTTAAAGCTGTCTTTTCCATTTACTGTATCCGATAGAGAGCATACTTTTGGTTCACACAACTGCAACTGTGTTTGCTGTGCATACATTTTGTTGTGGAGAGAAATACAAATGTTTTGTTTCAACAGAATATTGGTGTTTCTGCACATTTTTCTGTAGTGCATACTTTTCTACAAAAAGCCCATAAAAGTAAGTGTGCTTTAGATTGAGCACCATAGCGTGTCGTTGAAAAAAGCGTCTTCTATTATAAATGAAGTGTGTGCCATTTGGAGCAAAAGTTGGGTTTCGATAAGAATTGATGTTGTTGTTGTTGAGTGCAGTTAGTCATTATACAGGATATATACGTTTTTTTGCAACTCAGATACATAATTGTATGGGACAATGTCAGCTTTCATCGAGCAGCCACTGTCCAAAACTGGTTCGTTGACCACCCATAATTTCTGCTTCTGTATCTTCCACCCTCCATTTCTAAATCCGATAGAAGAGTTATTTTCGGCATGGCGGTGGAAGGTGTATGACCGTCAGCCATTTGAGCGCTTGAGTCTTTTGGAGGCAATGGAAGAGGCATGTGATGACATTGATGTGAGTGCTATCCAGGGATGGATATGACACTCAAGACTCTTCTTCCATCGATGTTTAGCCAGGGAAGATATTGCTTGTGATGTGGATGAGGTGCTGTGGCCAGACCCAGCTCGGCGGTGAGATGCACTCTAAGCACTTTTCTCTCCTCTGTTTTTTTGTTTAAAAAAAAGTATTCCTTTATATTTACTGTGTTTGAGGCATCATTTTTCTTTACACAACTGTTACTATTTGTTCTGCATGAATGTTGCACCAAATTTATGGGAGAAAAATAAAAGTATAACAACAGTATATTTTTGTCTCTGCACATATTTTTGTAGACTTGAACAGTCTTTATATGCAGAATTCTCTACATAGAGGAAAAAGATGAGTGTGCTTTAGTTAAAGCACCACAGTGTGTAGTTGGTTGGACAAAGTGGCTTGTACTATAAGTCAAGTGTGTGCCATTTGGTGCAAAAGTTAGGTTTTGGTAAGTGGTTATGTAGTTTTGAGTGCAGTGCTTCATTTTGCAAGAACAATTAGGTGTTTTGCACTTTGGGTGTGTGGTTTTGAGAATTGTGTTAAGTGTTTTGACAAAACGAGCCCTGTTGTGTTTTAGCAATTGAAAAAAACTGTAAACATAATGTTATGTGCCGTAGTGGGGTGTGTGTGTGTCTTCCTCCCCCCCCCCTCTCTCTCTCTGCAGCTCCCTCAGGTGATCCCAATCCCTGTTTTACTGCAGTCAACACAGAGGTTAGGGTTTCATGGAAGAGATGCCCACCCTTGTGTTATTCCACCTGAAGAGACCAGAAGCTCTGAAATTGAGTCTCATCAATCAGGATGGAAACACTAGAAAAAGGCTTCATGTAAGAAATGTATAAAAAAAACAATGGATATATGGATAGCAGCAAGAGGAAGAGGGAGACGGAGGATAAGAGAGAGGGAGGATAAGAGAGAGGGAGGATGAATTGAAGTCAGTTGAAGAGTTATTTGCAGCATAACGGTTGAAGCTGTTTGACCGTCAGGCCTACAGGTGCATGCTTCTTCTGCAGGTTGATGAGGTGATGTGGCCAGACCCAGGTTGCCAGACCCAGTTAGTGGTAAAATTCAGCATAAGCACTTTTCTTTCCTCTGTTTTTTGTTAAATTATTTATTGTGTTAAGTGTTTAAAGGAAATGAGCCCTGCTTTCAAAAAACATGTTTTAGCAAAAACTGTAGAAAACCAGGTGTGATATTGGGTTACTGCAACCATTTTTATTTCACATATTGTACATTGTCTCTGGAGGAAATAGATACAAACTTCATATTTAGTTTGTAGCCTATTTATAGTCCAAAGTCATCTTTGCCGTAAAATACAAACCCCAAAATATGTGACCCTCCGAAGTATGACAAACGGGTGAAACAGTGTTTTCTGAGAGCTGCAGCGAGATGTCAGCTGCCTCTTCTTCTTCATTTTGATTACAATCATATCACACTTATCTTGTGTGTTCTTATGCAACTTAAATGATTATAACCACTTTGTCGTTTCCTGTTTCCACCATAGATTCATATCATTTTAAAGTTAAGCCAATGTCTTATAATCTGCAAACCTGTTTTGTTATTACATATATTTACTACTGCATTCAACCTAAAAAACTATCCATAATATCATAAGAGCCTTTGTGCCGTTTATATATATGCTGTATATACAATTTGACATTATCTGCAAACAAACATGAGCGTGTTTTCTCTCAAACACATCAG